CTGATGTGGGGTACCTATATATTTATTATGGTTATATTTTCTTGGTGAACTGACCCCTTTATCATTCTTCTTCTTTTTTTGGATGCCAAATTGACTTCTTTTTATTATTGTTTATGCTGTTACAGTTATTCTTTGTCTCTTGTTACTGTTTTTTAGCTTATAATCTCTTTGGTCTGTGTCAGTTTTTGAGGAGAAAGGCAATGTTTACGCCACTGTATTGGAAACAGGAAGGTTAATGGATGGATTTGCAGATGCATGTGCAGCATAAACAAGTCGTGATTGGACAAAAGTGTTTTCTGGGGGAAGTTTTTTTTTGGGAAAGGAAGCAATACTAGCAATCTGTAAACTTCCTGATAAAGTTGTAAATCATGTACAATCTTCACTGTACTGGATAACCTATTTAGATTATTATTCATTCATTATTTGGGCCCTATAAGAGAAATTAAAAGAAATTTCTCTCTCTCTCTCATAGCATAATCAAATTTAGAAATTGTTAGGACAACACACCTGGAGAGGACATGAATCTTCTAAATAATGACCTTCCCTTGCTTCAAGCATTGTAGTTTGAATATCTTCAGTACAACTTTAAACAGATACTAATTATATACTTTCCTCTTTTAGAGGGGTAATTCAGAGATGTAGGCTTTATAGTATACTTCAATATAGTATACATAATAATGTTTTTGTTACCCTTAATTGCAAACCTTTTACTTCTATGAATTTATTTTGCCTGTCCATTTGAGGAATATAAACCAATTTGGGATGCCCACTGTATTGCTACCTGCTGTATATATGGTTAGCTCGTCACTGATGTCTCTGTTTCCTTCTGACATTTCACAAAGAAACACTGAGGAAAAACTAGTACGATCAAATAAATAACGTCAGTAACGTCATATGACATTACAATGCACTGGGTGACATCCTTCCCTCTGGTTTGGAGTAGTCAGGAAGTCACACTTCCCTGGCTCACCGCTCACACCCACAGATCCCATACGACCCTGTAACACTGGGTTCAACTGCCTTCTCCAACTGACACAGGGCTGGGCTCCAAGCTGTGGGAGTTACGAGGAGGACTTTTGTGAAAATGAAGTGACTCAATTCCCAGAGGGCCGACCAAATCCTGTGAGCCCCACCAGTAGGCCATGTCCTATATAGGCACAGGATAATGACTCACGGCTGACTTACTGAGTCTTGGGGTTTGCCAAAAACCTAGAGTTTTTAATAGATACAATAATAACTTCAAAGGATTGAAACAGAACTATTGAGATTATGATCCTTATTTTTGGAGGCAATGAAACAGGTTGCATTGGAGAGGAGAGTGGCCATTTCTGGTTCCCCTAATGTGCCGCTTGCTACATGTGATTGGGTAGGAGCTCTTAGCGAGAACCCACCAGTGCGCTCGCCCTGCGGTGCCGGCTCAGTGCTGTGTCGCCTTCGGCAATTCGCTTATTTAAAGTCTGTAACAAGAGTATTCACCTCAGAGGTTGGTGTGAAAAGGAAAGGAGCTCAAATGCGGTGGAGTTTGTGCCCGCTGCACAGGTAGAAGGCAACAGCGATAACTATTCTACTGCAATGACTGTAGCCTCATCCTGGAGGATTTTCTCACAAGGAATCAAATCACCTGAAAATGTCAACGACGAGGGGAAAACTCTCTTCAAATAATTTACGGGCAATTTATTGCTTGAGAAATAAATAAAATTTTATTTGTCATGAAATCTCAGATTTCTTGAAAAAAGCAAGACTTTCTGATAAGTAAATTTTCTCTTTTTTATTTCATTTAACAAAAAACATGTTGTATTCCTATATAGAGTATGAAAAGTTGAGTCACTGTTCCTACCTGTAAAGCATGTGCCTTTTACTAGAGAAGCTAACATACTTGCATTAGTAACTATATTAAGGAGTAGAGGGTTAAGGGGGATAAGAAAAATTAAGACTGGGAAGAAATGATTACTCTGGTGTTCAAGGAGTAACCCCAAAGGAGGTATTAGCTAAAACAGACCTTAATGGAGGGTTGTGTGTGAGAAAGCAGAGCTGGCAGAAGGGAGAGGGTGCAGCAGATGCGGCAGTGGTGCTGAAGGTGGGGCCCAGGGGTCAGTGGTGGGCGGTGCAGCCCTTGGAGCTCTGACTTCGTGACTGGAGGCACCAAGGCAGCTGTGCTCTGTTCTCTGTTTCTACCTTGAGTTCAGCCCTTGTAGCAAGGCAACATCCATGGAGTCCTCTTTAGGGTTAAAGGTGTATTTTTAAAAGCATCTTTTATACATCCTTTGGGTGGTTTTCTTATTACATTTAGGAGAAAGCAACAGGATCTGAAGTTTTCTTCACAGCATGTTTTGGTTCCTTTAGTTCCCAGGGGCCCATTCGGTGTGATGGTAGAAGAAACTGCCTTTGTAGCCCATTAGCCCATCTCCAGTGGCCAGTTTTCAGTGGCTTAACTATCTCAGCCCTGAAACCCCCCTCTGTGAGTACAAAGACTGCTGTGAAATTGTTTAATCAGGAGCATCTGACAGTAAAGGTAGGCTACATGTATAAACACAGCAAGTCTGGGAATGATTATTAATGGCTGGGTGAGGTCTGTTTGTTTGAGTTGACAGCCTCTCCCTCTTTCATTAAACACCCAACTAACCTCCAATTGCCCTCTAAGAACTTAATCTCAGTGCAATTACCAGCATTTCAGAATCATCAAACCTAAGAGATACTACCCTGAAACGCAGTCTTTACTCAATGTTAGGAGACTAACACCAACTACAAAAGTCTACAAATGCCTCCATTGGGGAGTAGGATAGATTTAGAAATCACTTACTCTATTAGGTGGTGTAAATGATAAACTTATAACAAGCTGGCACACAACTTTTAAAAAAAAGTATCCTCCAAAATTTCTGGGAATTTAGAATTCCAAAATATTGGTAGAGTCTGCATGTGACCGCAGATATAACCAGTGAGGCAGGGTCCTAGAATTTGAGTTATAAAAGAAAACTTCTTTATTTCCATGATCACTGAAGTTACTTCTGCCTGGCTTCTTCAGTTATTATTTCAGCTGCTATCGTCTCAGACAGTTGGACTGTTCAAAGACAGAACTGATGCTGGGTTTAGATATTCTTCTCATATATCCTGCCATATGAGTGATATCATCCAGAGTCCAAAACTTACTCCAGTGTCTTCACCAAATTACAAAGGGCCAAGGGATCAACTGTGGTTGGAATTTCAAAAGATAATTACAAACCAAACTTTTAAAAATACCCAAATGCTATTAACTTTTTTCTTTTTAATATTTGTCACTTTTATCCTGTTGTTTTTTGTTTATTTGTTTGTCTTTGCTTTTCTTTTGGATTTCCCCAGAATACTGAGTAATAGGACTGGCTGTGGGTGACAAGAAGAGAAATGATTATAACAATGGCACTCTTGCAAAACTGTATCTTCCAAAACAATTTTGTTTCCAGTGTATATAAGTCCCATACCTCCTCAGCCCCATTAAGCTTTTCTTACTTAAATATAAATAAAACTGTATTTTGGATCTAGCAATTTCTCTGTTTTCTAAGCACTGCCTTTGATCTTAAATGTACAGCTATTTCCCAATACATATCTTTACAACTTTTATACTTTATATTTTAAAGCCAACCAACTGCTTATTTGATAACTTTCTTACGTTTTCTATAAAAGGAAATGAAGTGAAATGTACATCACATTTAACAGGCAGGCTGTTGTATTTGTTGAGAAGAGATGTACCTACAAACAGAAGACCTAAGATTGAGTCCTAGTTTATTATCTGTGTAATGCCAGGAAGTTCATATAATGTCTCTGAGTCCTAGTTTCCTATTCAAGTAAAGTAAGAATCAAAATAATTTCATTTATAGCATTATTGTAGGGATTAAAGGACATCATGAAATTTTTTTTCTCAAGCATGTATGAATGCTTGATAATGCTCAAGAAGTCATGAATTCCTTGATCCCTGAAATAGCCCTGCATTTATTTTCATCTTTTATGGTTTTCAAAATGAGAGCTGGTCTTCTTGCCCCTTCCAGAAGCACGTAGGACATGTTTTTTCACACCTGCGGCTCATCTACTACCAAATATGAAATGCAGTGCTAGCATTTCAATGACACTGCTGCCACCAAGTGGTCACTTAGGGATTCTGCAAGTCAAAATCTACGCGCCATACATCAGAGCGTAATGATGCTAAAACAGGCAATTGAACATGTGCATGCGGACCAAAACAGTAGCTTCTCTTCTCCTTCCTTGGTGACATAAACTGAGTAGCACAACTTTTATCTAACCTGCAATACCACCTTACTCTTTCTTCCTCCTTGATTTACCCTAGAGACCACAATAAAAAATTTAAAAATCCTTGGCTCTCTCCTAAATCCCTAATCCCTCTTTTCTATACACACAGCCAAAGACCTGAAAGGGAATCTGAGACCTGAGATGCCCAGATGGAGACTGGAAACCACTAGTAGTTAACTACTATGATACATCCAGTATTTTACATGTGTTTAATCCTTAAAACCCTAGGAGCAGCATAAATATCTTTGTTTTGCAGGTTAAGAAACTAAGGCTCAAATTGGCTCAATCTGTGAGCACCAGGATAGGCTTCAAACCCAGGAGGGAGCCAGGGTCCTCTCTACTGCCTCTCAAGGCTTCCTGCCTCCATGTCCATTCTGCTCTGCTCCTTCCCACTTTACCTTCCATGGGGTTTAGGTGTCTTCTACCCAAGATGCCTGCACCAGCACATTCAGAATCGCCTGGTGAAATGCTTGCCATATGAATGCCGAGGTACCTTCCACATCAATTGTTAACAAAACCTCTGGAAGATACACTCCAGCATCTGTAATTTTTTTAAATAAAAGGTTCTACAGATGATTCTGTTGCACTGAGAGTGTAGAGAACCACTGGTTTAAATAATGATATTGTTCATGTTATAATTTTTTTACTGCTTTAACATTTAATCAGGGGTATATTCTTGATAATATACATCACTGACAGAGTTTCTCTCACTGTAATAACAGGTGGATGACACATTTATAGATTCGGCCTTGAACGAGCATTATATCAAGAATCGAGTAGTCAGACTGACGTACGTATATTTGGGCAAAGGTGGAGCCACGGCCTAGGAACAACGGGCAAAGGGGACAGGAACCTTCATGTATTGTGCACCTCTGTGAGCAAGGCTCCTGGCTAGGGTCCCTCATAAACATCATCTCTACAACAGTCTCAAGACATAGCGTTGACTCCACTTTGTAAAAGAGAAAATGAAAACTTAGGGAGGTTAAGTGATATGTTCAAAGTTTCCCAAGTGACAGTTTTCCCAAGTGACAGAACGAGGATTCAAACCCTATCAACTGATCGCGAGCCCTGGAACTACCAGAATCTGTGGTCTTGGGAAAACCCAGTAGCACATCACTGTGGGCATGAAGTTGTATTTTTTTAACATATACATCATTTCAAAAATATTAAGAAGGCAACATTGACTGCTCTATGGGATAATGAGATTTACCTGTAATAAAGCCCCAGTGTCAGGAGGCATACCTAAGCAAGATGATGTTTCTGTTTTAATACATTTTTTGTTTGTTGTGGTTGAGGGGGAAAACTCACATCAGTTGCAGAAATTGCTCACAGGTTTCGATTTTGTTATTGGGAAAGCACATAGCAAAACATATACGTAGTAGGTGCAAACCTACAGGCCTGTGTGAGTCATCTTCTTAAAGAAAATGAGTATCTCCAGACAGATGCATTTGAAGAAAGTAATCACTTTTCTCACCAATAGACTAATGCCTATTAACAGACTTATTCCAAGTTCCTCCCACCTTTACTGAGTAACTAGCAATCTCCAGAAAAAAAATTAATCATATACATTTTATAACATTTAAGAGATAAAAAGCACATATTTGCTGAAACTGTTTACATTTCCATGCCTTTGATTTTCTAATTCTGGTTTGCCATAATACTCTAACAACATTATCATAATCTTATGAACTCCTTTGAATCTCTAGCCATCATCAGTGAATTTCTGTGTGAGTCCAGAAGCCACCTTGTACACAATGTGTTCCCCGGCATAAAATGAAGAAAAATTACTTGGCCATATGATTGTCAATTGGACATAAAATTCTGATTATTTATATCTCCACATTCCAGAGCCCAAATGCATCACAATATATAAAAATGCCCCAGAATTGATATGACTTTCTTTTTGTAGTCAAAGGATTCCAGAAAGTAGGCCATTCATATTTTTTTAGAGCTTGAATCTTACATAGTGTACAGATAAGAGACATGGCAGATCAAAGAACACATTTTAATTTTTAAAAGACGTTTAACTGTTTTGTTTTCCTACTTTAAGAGAATATAAAAATTCAGTGCCACTGGTGGATGGACTTGAACCTATTTATATTTTTTAAAAGGTCAAGAAATTGGATATGCTTAATCTGGAAGAGACTTGGGGACCAAAATATCACTAGCTTTAAATATTTTATGTGGAAAGGGATCGATGTTTTATATATGTCTCACCTGGTAGACCTAAGCTTAATGAAGGGACAATATAAGAAGATATATTTCAACTCAGATTGAACTCTCTTAGAATCAGAGCTTACCACAGAGAAATACACCTCTTTAGGGGAGTACACTTCCCATTATTTTAATTAGTGAGCTGGGGTTAGAGGGCCCCTTATCCTAGAAGCTGTAGAGGTAATTCTGGTATCAGATATATTGGCCAAAGAGATCGCCAAAGTTTCTTCCAATTCTCAGAGTTTCTGATCTCAATGATCGTTTTTTGATGACTGAGTCTTACTTAACTACTATAACAAGACTTCAAATTAATGGGCAAAATGTGCTGGACACATAAGGAAAACTTGAAGAGAGAGCACCTGGAATGGCGATGGGTCAGAGAGTCGCACGTGAAAAAGGGTCAGTGGGAGAGGGTTGGCACTTGACATTTCCAGCAACTGAGGCATAATTCAGGGGAGGACAAACTGGGAAACAGTGTCCGATAATGTCAGGTATATTCTTGAAATGATTCTCTTTCTCTCGTGTCCCACAGTCCAGAGGAAGATGGTGTGAAAGCAGATGTCGTTATGGTGTTCCAGTTCCCCTCTGCTGAGCAAAGGGCAGTAAGGAAGGAGAAAATCCACAGTATCTTAAACCAGAAGATAAGGAATACGAGAGCCTTGTCAATAAATGCCTCATCAATCCAAGTTAATGGTAAGTAGGTACCTTTCGATGTGATGTGAGATTCTCTATTAAGTTCATTTTATGGCTAATCTTTAATTTACATGCCATATTGCTATGCCAAATAATAGCTAGAATATAGATTAAAAAATTCAAGTTAAAAAAGTAAAATTTCAAGGTTTTATGATTCTCTAATGAAAGCATGTCTGAGGTTATTTGTCAAATGGTTTTTTCTGTAGAAATTGACTGTTGCTTCTCCCATGAACAGACAGTTAATCTGACCCACCCACTGCCTCCACGACTAAGTGAAAATCTAAGCACTTAGTAACAACTGCTTTTCTGGGTGACACCTCCTTGAAACATAAACTCACGCTTTGCCTTTTAAAAATATGAATAATTTTTGTATATAGTATATAGAAAAAATTTTGTAAATAGCAAAATTATAGAGTTTTTGTTTTCTTTCTTCCTATGAGCATTTGGAAAAATGCTAAGTTGATTTTGGAACCACTGAAGCCTTTTTATAAGTAATGAGTAAAATCACTAACCTAAAAAAAATTATAGCCATGATATCACTGTCACTTCTCTAAAAAAGAGAATCAACCTTTTTAGGGCCCTTTCTGTGCCCTTTATATGCAGCATCTGATTTCTGGATCCCTATGAAGGAGGCGAATTCACTCTTATAGATGTGAAAGAATGGCTAAGAAACTTAAAGACTCTAATTATTAAAAAGAGATAAGATTCAAATCTAGGTCTCTCATTTATTGAGAGTGTCCATGTCAAAGGCTCTGTGGTCAAACACGTTTTAGAAATTCTATCTTCAGATTCATCTCTTGGAAATGCATTCATACATTAGCATAGTGAAAACTCTGAGGAGTCCAGTTAGACAGAACCCTGTTTACCCTTGCACATCAAGCTGCTTCCACAAGCATCTACTTCTGGCAGAGAAGTGCAGATTTCCCTTACAAACTCCTAAGGACACCATACCTGGAGTCAGAGAACAGAACCAGAGTGACTAATATCACATGTGAAACAGGCTGCCCTGCCCCTTGTAAGGGTCTGGCTGACTCTTGAAGAGGAACCTCACCAGGAAGTGAAAATCGGAGGGAATGGGATGGGCAAGAGCTTGCTGATGTGGCAGAGAGTCAGCTCCTCAGGGAATAAGCTGGGGACCTCTCCCAACCCAAGAGGGAAGAACCTGTCAAGGGCTTAATCTACCTTCTTTGTTAAGTGGGAAAAATAAATGAATCAAGGTTATGAAATAGTGGCAATCCTGATAAGTTACCTGGTGTGTTCTATTTAATTTCCAATAACCAGTTAATTTGCCAGGAATCTAAAAGCCTGAGCTATCTGAAACCTGAAATAAGGCATGGAATGGTCCTGGACTGTCTGGAGTTTTTGTTTCTCACAGGCTGAGTTTGTGAGCTGCAGTCTATTTTAATGACTGTAGCAGATTAAAGGACAGGATGTGCCGATGGAGAACCTGAATTAAGAGTTACCTGACTAATTCTAATTCCAACCCCACTGAGTCACTGCAGGACCACCCAAGTACCTGGGCCATGCCCTTCCCTTCATTTTCTCCATATTCTCATCTATAAAATTGCAGTGATAATGTTTATTTTTCCTGATATCAGAGAAATACCATAAGAATGTAGAAAAATCTCTATAATATGGAACATATTGCCACTTAGAAAAGTAGTGCTGTAAATAGTACATATGCTTTGGAAATATGAAAGCATTAATGGGAGTGATTGACTGGTAGCATAGAAAAAGCTAGAACCTTGAAGGTTCCCAAATCTCTAAATGTAAAAATAGCAGTGTTTACTTACACTTAGGAAAGGCCGGTTTAGTGGAAAGCTCAGTAAGAAACCTCAAGCCAGTTCTTATAGGCAAAACCATTGCTCTCTAAGAACACAATTTCTGGGGACTCCCAGTGAATAGAAAACTGCTGCCCAAGATTTGGCCATAATTTGTGAAATATGTGTTTTGTTCTGACAAATAACTGTGTGGTGTGGGTCCTTCATGAGATACAGTGTGTCAAAGCAAAGCCAAGATCAACATCTCTGTGTTGCAAACACGGCCACGGCTGTGGAAGAGCAGCTCACTGCCTGCGTGTGGTGTGGGTGCTCCAGTTCCCACCATGTCATTAGCAGTGTATATAGCCCTTGATACTAACTGCATTACTCCCAACTCAGAAACATGTTAGAGCGTTACTTTCAAGACCAGGGTGTTATGTTTCTTTGCACTCCTAGATGTGAAAAGTCAAAAGATTGGTCAAAATTAGAAACCTTTGATAACTAGTTTCTTGTGTATAGGTAGTTTGCCTCCAGGTGTGGTCATTATCCCTAAAACTTTAACCCTTGAAAACCTAGTTACACTTACAACCATTACACTTAGCCCAGTATCATTCCTGGAAAGGGGATATTTGCATCTTGCTCAAACTAAGCTGAAGAAGTTTTAACTGAAGAATCTAACATTATACTATTTTCCATTCTAGTTCACTACTAATATTGGACATATTAAATTAATTTTTTTAAGTGAAACAAGAAATTTCCTAAAAACTACATTTGACAGAAAATTGAGTACTTTCCATAGAGTAAGCATTGAGAATCTGTCCTGAGAGATTGATTCTTTACCAGTGAATGACTTGGGCATGCCTTTAGGGGTACTTTGAAATCAATATTTTCAAAACCCCTACTTTGCAGATTTATCATCACTAGTTTCACAAATGGGATTGGTAGAAGGTAAGTAGAAAGAAAGCATTCCTACTTTACACAATGAGACATGAGATGCAGAGGACATGAGTCTAAGAAACATGCTACTGGTAGAAATCTGTGAAACAGTTCATGTTCATTCTGCTCAGTAGGTAATTTCATCTTGAAAATTAACATAGTTTTTGGCAATCTTCTACCAACTTAAGTTTTTTTTTCCTTTTTAAAGTTTTATATTATTATGTTACTACAGTTGTCCTGATTTCTCCTGTTGCCCCCCTACACACAGAACCCCTCACTCCCACAGGCAACCCCCACACCATTGTTCATGGCCATGGGTGATGCATATTAGGTCTTTGGCTACTCCATTTTCTATACTGTACTTTACATCCCTGTGGCTATTCTGTAACTACTTACTTGTACTCCTTAAATCCCCTCACCTCTTCACCCAGTCCCCCATATGGCAACCATCAATACTCTTTCTGTATCCATGACTCTGTTCTTTTTTGTACACTTAGTTTGTTTTTTAGATTCAATTATTAATAGACAGGTATGTATTGCTATTTTATTTTTCATAGTTTTGATCTTCTTTTTCTTAAGTAAGTCCCTTTAACATTTCATATAATAATGGTTTGGTGATTTTTAACTCCTTTAGTTTTTTTCTTGTCTAGAAAAGTCTTTATCAGCCCTTCAATTCAAAATGATAGCTTTGCTGGGTAGAGAGCAATCCTGGCTGTGGGTCCCTGTACTTCATGACTTTGAATATTTCTTGCCAATCCCTTCTAGCCTGCAAAGTTCCTTTTGAGAAATTAGCTAACAGTCTTATGGGAACTCTTTGGTAGGTAACCAGTTGCTTTTCTCTTGCTGTTTTAAGATTCTCTCTGTAGCTTTAACCTTTGGCATTTTAGTTATGATGTGTCTTAGAGTGGGCCTCTTTGCATCCATCTTGTTTATGACTCTCAGTGTTTCCTGGACTTGCATGTCTATTTCCTTTACCAAATTAAGGAAGTTTTCTTTCATTATTTTTTTCAAATAGATTTCCAATTTCTTGCTCTTTCTTTTCTCCTTCTGGCACCCCTTTGATGCAAATGTTAAAATGCCTGAAGTTGTCCCAGAGGCTGTTCACACTATCCTCATTTGGGGGGGTTCTTTTTTTGTTGTTCTGATAGGTTGTTTTTTGCTCCCTTATATTCCAAACCTTTGATCTGATTTTCAGCTTCATCCATTCTACTGTTGTTTCCCTGTAAATAATTCTTTATTTAATTAGTGTATCCTTCCTTTATGACTGGATCTTTTTTTATGCTGGTGAGGTCCTCACTAAGTTCCTTGAGCATCCTTATAACCAGTGTTTTGAACCCTGCATCTGATAGATTGCTAATCTCCATCTTGTTTAGTTTTTTTTTTTCTGGAATTTTTATTTGTTCTTTCATTTGAGCCACATTTCTTTGTCTCCTCATTTTGTCAGCCTCCCTTTGTTTGTTTCTATGTATCAGGTAGAACTGCTATGACTCCTGTCTTGGTAGCATAGCTTAATGTAGTTAGTGTCCTGTAGGATCCAATGGCACAGACTCCCATGTCACCCAAGCTGGGTAATCAAGTGAACCCTTTGTATGGGCTGAGTACACCCTCCTCTTGTAGTTGAGCTTTGATTGCTGTTGCAAGTCAATAGGAGGGATTTACCCAGCCACTCAGTTGCAAGGAATGGCTGTGACCACTGACCATAAACCTCCTGCCCTCTATGGAAGATAAGCTGTGCAGATGCAGGGTGATGGTTCTCCATTGTGGTCTGTAGCTGTCCACTGGGTGCGTAGGCCCTAGTGGTTCCCAGATTGTGCAGGTCGACATCAGATGCCATCCGTGTTCTTCCCAGGGCCACCCTGCCTGAGTTATAAAGCAAACTGAGGTGGCTGCCACTTATGCTGTGCTTAGAGATTCCCAGAGAAAGCCAAGTTGTGAATCTAGGCTGGCTGCTGCTAGTACCCGGGCTGTGCCCACTTCACAATATGTACCCATTGAGCTAGCTAGGGACTTATGAAGGCTGACTGCTGCTTGTTTTAGAGGATTTAGGAAATTGTGAAGCATGAGCCATTCATATGAAAAGTTGCTTCAGTGAACCCACAAGTTGGGTGGACCCACAAGTTGGGTGGGATGGAGTCTTAGGGGATCTCCAGGGTGAGTCAAACAGTGTTAGCCAAGTTCATGGATCCTGTGATATGGTACCAGGCTGCTGGCTCTGTCGGGGGAGGGTTCAGAAAACAGACAATGGCCTCTGCCTAACTTGCTGTCTGGGAGAAAGCTATCCCCAGCTCTTGCCTTGATGCCAGACACTTCAGTTCTTCCCTGTGTGCCACTGGTGCCTTTCAAGCTGCCTTTCTGATACTGGTGCTCAGAGGGAGTGAGTCTGAGTAAATATGGTATGTTGGTTCTTTAAGAGGAACTGCTTGAGACTCCAGAAGTTTCTTCTACTGGCTGAGTCCCAGATGGTTTTTGCAGCCAGAGTTATAGGAACTTATCTTTCTGGCACCCTGGGCAGGGTGGCCCGGTGTGGGGCTGGGACTCCTTATTCCTGAGATATCCCTCCTATATTTCTATCCACCACATGTGGATGTGGGACTACTTGTTCCACATCTCTGTCCCCTCTGCCAGTCTGGATGGATGTAGTTTCTTTAATTTCATAGTTGTCAGACTTTCATTCAACTTGATTTCTGACTATTTGGAGAGATGGTTGCTCTATAATTTATTTTTACTTTTGATTTGGTTGTGCAAGAAGGCAAACATGTTTACCTATACCACCCTCTTGACTGGAAGTCTCCCAACTTAAGTTTAAGTGTTCATATTTTCTTTATCAGATTCTTAACTTTGTTGGAAATTAACAGAATTTAATCTTAGTTTATATTCAATAATTGACCATTGCCAATATATTCAGCAGACGTTGGATAAGAAAACACAATAGTTCATTCTTCAGAAAAAAACATTTTGATAATTTAGGAATTGTGTTTTAAGCACAGTTTTTGTCAGAGTTTTTAAAGTTTTTAAAAAATTTCTAAATGCTTTCACCAAAAAAAAAGAACTCTTAAATAGAAGAGGTTAGATCAGACCTGTCCTGATTAAGTCTGGGTTTGAGCCTCAAAACCCCATCTACTTGTTCCCTCCTTCCTCACTTTCTCTGTCTTCTGAGGCAAAATCTAAAGAGGCTTTATCATGCATCATTGAAAAACCGCTGTTCAAAAACTATTTGTGAATTTTAATTATCCACTATTTGTGCTTTAATCACCCACAGCTTGAGGTATTAGACACCTAATTGGAGGTTGCTTATACGTCTCTACAAAAATTATACCCATATCCTATTGTATCAGATAGCCATTCTCCTGACTGATGAGTATGTTCAGCTGTCCAGAATCTATATATGGTCAATATTCTCTGATAATGCAGGTTATGAAGGCCAGTCAAGAGGATATCAAATTATTATTCTTTGTTCTATTTTGTTTTTCAGCAATGAGCTCATCAACAGGGAAGTTAACTGTCCAAGCATGTAAGTCTAGTTAGCTTATAAAAACAAGTTCAATTTTCTATATCAGAAAGGATAATATCTTCAAATATTACCTCACAATTTCCCATCCATGTCCAACTTTTCTTTGGGAGAGAATAAAATTGGACAATATAGAAATACCTTTTCCTTACTCTGAGACAGATCTTTTCTCATGTTCAAAAAAATAATTTAATATATGCATAACCCATATACACAGGCAATGGTGTGGTGATGGCCAGAGGGAAGGGGGTTGTAGAGGCAGGCAAACGGGGAAAATGATGAGGACATCTATAACAGTGTAAACAATAAAAATAAAGTAAGAAAGAAAAATACTTCATATGGTTGAAATTTTGGAACAATTTGAGTAAGTTACATATATTTCTGGTTTAGAATAAATAGATTTGCTTTTCTAAATTTTTAAAATGCTATTAAAATGTGCTTTCTTCTGAGAAATAAAATAATGAGAAAGTGATACGTGGGGAGATCGGTCCCTATCTGTGACTGACCTATAAAACTTGCTTACTATATCTCACCTTCATGGTGAACAGTAGCTCCACTTTCTTACTTTATATCACTGTGGTCAAAATTCTGAAAGATTTGATAAGAGTGATGATGAATATGAGCAAAGGTGTTTATGATTTCACCTGTGTATCTTATAAACACACCATACTATACATATTCATTCATTCGACAAACACCATTTTAACATCTACCAAATTCCAGAAAGTAAATGTCATTGGGGAATGACATGATCCTATTTCTAAAATTAAGAATTTGAAGGTAGGGAAAGACATAAATAAATCAGGAAATCTTAAAATATTATGATAAATGCTGTAACAGAGAATGTCCACACTGCTATGACAGTGAATCACACAGTCAGCTGACCTCATCTTGTCCAATCAGAAAGGGACTGGAGACAGCAAAGAGGAGATGCCATGTGTCAGATGACAAGTGGGGTGGCTGTCCTGGGCAGGGGAAGTAGTATGTAAAAATGTCTTCTGAAAAGAAAGTATATGGTCATTTCTCGTAATTGTTCCAGTGTGGCTGGCACATAGAATGGGGGTTGATGGTATCAGAGAAAAGCATGATGAATGGTGGCCAAAGACCAGAACCATGCTGTAGCATTTCAACTTTATTTGGTGAGCAGTGGGAAATCACTGGAGGGTTTCACTTGTATTGTAAAGATCACGCAGTTTTCAGTGTGGAGAACGGATTGGGGGAACAAGACTAGAGTCAGGGAGATAAACTGGAAAGCTATTGCTGTCTTTCAGATAAGACAAATGGTAGTGTAAACTTGAGTAATGGTAGAGTGATGGACATTTCTAAAATGACTGGCCACAGTTGAAGTGTAATCAATACTAGTAAAATAAAATTTTTGTTACCTAAGTAGTAGGATCAAGAGTTGAAACTACTATATTTTTCTTTGTTAACGCCATACTTTAAACAGGTTTAATTCATAGCAGAAACCCTAAAGAGCAAACCAATCTCTGATCTGGTGCACAGAATAGAATAGATATTCATTCCCACCAACAGTGAATACAGTGTTATACGGAGACATGAAACCCTTCATCCTGGAGAATGAGAGACTGATCATGATACATTCACTCATGCTCACTTTATGAATTAACGACTCAGAAAAACATACAGGAGAAGGAGTTCCAACAAATAGGCAGTTACTTGTCTAGTCAGTTCTGTTGTGAAAAGTTCATGTCAAAGTAACACTAATGAATCACCTAAAACTGGAAAACAATCATCTTATATGAGCTTCCAGGACATATAGATAATTGACACCACAAAGTCTTAGGATACACACTTTGTAGTGTGTCAACCATTTGTGGCTGTACATAGCTTCAGTAGGCAATATATAGCCACATCAATGAATGTAGGCAGAGAGCAAAACATCAGCATACTATTAAATACAGAGGATGGCTATTAATATTGAACACATTTAAATAACAATAGTTGCAAATATTGCATCATAATACTCTATTAAGTTCTTTGTATTAAAAATTATAGAGACATTTCTATAACTTAATGATCTCATCTCTTTCAGGTTGTGGTAAACGAGTTGTTCCATTAACTGTCAACAGGATAATGTCTGGAGACGTTGCGGCCAGAGCTGCCTGGCCGTGGCAAGCTTCCCTTCAGCGTGATAACGTCCATCAGTGTGGGGCCACTTTGATTAGTAATACATGGCTCATCACTGCAGCTCACTGCTTTAAGTAGTAAGTTACAGACCTTAACTAAGACCCCACTACTGCTAAAAAAAAAAAACTTCTGAGTTTTATTATGTTCTGACTAATAAGTAATACTTCCAAATATTACTGAGGTAAAACGAGAAACTCCTTTCAGGTTCTTTTCTAAAATAATGTTACACTTGCATACTTATTTGGAAAGTTGGAAGGGCAGGTGAAGTAGTCATTATCCTAGTGTTCACAGAGTTTTGAAGAAATTGTGTAAAGAAGCAAAAGTCATCCTAGCACAATTTACTATTAACATATATAATAAGTACTTTCTCAAACAATCCTCTCCACTTGATACCAGTGTCTGTTTCTGCCAATGACTTGGACCAAACTCATGCTGGTCACAAATAAGCAAATTAATTACAAAGTGATATTGAAATCTTGAATAGATGTTGGTAACTGTGATAATAGGGAAATGATCAAATGAAATTTTATTGCACTGATATGAAGAGCTGATGGACTTATAGTTCACAACCAAAATGAGAAAATTACCAAGATGATAAGAGCAGATACTTCAAAAAAGATCCCTCTGGCTAACTAAGGATTAAGACTCCCATGGGCCAATCAATGATACCTTCGTATAACCCAGTGTCCTGTGGACCATGGTGCTGCAAACGGCAAACTGGAAGGAAAGATAGCATTTCTGCTATCATACGATTGTTTCAGATGAGCAGTTAATAATTCTTTACACATTCTGAGCATAGTTACAATATGCATTCTCTAAATATAAGCTAAAATATTTTTCATAATTTTAGTTTTACTTTTCAAAAATAACCAGTCACTTTTTTATTACTGTTATATTTTAAATTTTGGATTTCTTTCTAAGTAGGTTCACTTTATGACCTTTCTCCAGTACCAAATATTATGGAGGTAACAGGGGTTCCTGGTCTTCCTGTAAAGCAGGTGGCAGGAGGACTTAGGGAGCAAAATATCGATTGTCCCAGACAGCAGGAGAGCTGTGCCTGATCTCTGTGGTCTTGGATAAGTTATTAAATCATAGTGTATTAAAAATAGATGGACTCGTGTTCCTCTGGAGGCCCAAAACCCTGACTTTTGATACTATAGTAAATTCTGCTTTCCTGTGAGTCTAAATCTTTTTAGAGACTTGGATCCTTGAACTTCAAAGGACATGAGAACTCAATAGGCCAATATGTTAGAAAGCACAGAAATCCTTTATGCAGGTACATAGTTTAGGACTGAATACCTCAAAGTTATGGATTGCATACTGCTCCAAAGTTAGCCAGTTTTGTGGTAGATGGTCCTGCTTTTGCAAAGGTCTTTATAACACCAACAACCAAATCTGTACTCTAATAACTTCTATTCACTGATATTTGTTCTTTCATCCATAGAGCAGGAATAGAACAGCTATTTCTGCATTTCTATTTTTTAGGCCAAACATTATAAAATTAGTGGGAATATCTAAAGCATATGTGAAAATAAACATCACTACTTTATCTCGTAGTATCAACTTGCCCATGTCCTACCATCCTGTTTCTTTTCTGAATGTTTGTTAGTGTCCCTTAAAACATGCTTCCAAGAACTAAACTTACTTCTCAAGATAGGTAATATAATAACAAAGTAAAGAGGCTTCTAGAGAAATTAAATAAGTTGAATGTAAGGGTAATAGGTAGCTCAGTAACTAAACAATTCTTATCAAATGATGATGGTTAAGAATTGCTGTAGAAAGACTGATGATATTTTTTATGGCTCATCAAAGACCTCAACCCTGCGGCCTATCCAAAACAATATATTTGGTAGGCTTGGCAGGTGATGTGGAAGCAATCCCCAACAAAGTAGCTGATCACATGCATGAGAAAGGAAAAACAAATGTGTGGGTTTGAAAAAAGGAATTTCAAAGAACTTTATGTTAGAGTAATAAGCAAGAATTAAATGATCAAATTTAGTAGGTATATATGTAAGGCTCTAACTTGGATTGTAAAAATCCAAGTACATCAGTACAGAAAGCAGATACATGCTTTAATGTGTAAAAATTGCTTAGGAATTTTTGTTGGAAGATAGACTGCTATGAGTAGGTTGTTCACAAAACTATATTGTGATTTAGGTTACATTAAAATAAGTGTAGAACCTAGAATAAATGAGATGTCAGACTCTTTGTTGGTCAGATCCTGCCTAGAATGGCAAAGTCTGTCCTGGACAATATACCTAATGAGAACTTGACAAAGTGAAGTACTCTTAGCGTAGTGGAGAGTACTGGGTGGTAAAGAAAGTTGCTGGGATAGCCATACAGCCTTGACACTCAAAGCATACTTCACAGACATGCAGCACTGACATAACTAGGAAATTAGTTAAAAATGTAAGATTATGCTCAGTGAAATAAACCAGTCAGAAAAAGACAAATACCATGTGATTCCACATATATGTGGAATTTAATGAAAATAAATTGATGAACAAAATAGAAACGGAGGCATGGGTAAATGCAATAGACTGACAGCTGTCAGAAACGAGGGATGTTGGAGGACTGGATGAAATGTGAAGGGATTAAGCAAATAAATATGTCACATACACACACATATAGATACATGCAACAGTGTGGTGGTAGCCAGAGGGAGACGGGGGTGGTGGGGTGTGGGCTAGGTGGAGGTGGGCAAAGGTAGGTGATGGGGATGGAAAGAGACTTTGCTTTGGGCAATGGGCACATAATGCAGTGTGCAGATGATGACTTATTGAATTGTGCAGTTGAAACCTGTATAATTTTGTGAACCAATATCACCCCAATAAATTCAGTTTAAAAATGCAGGAATCTCAAGCCCTATCTCCAGCCTACAGAATCAGGAGCTGCATTTTAGTAGGCTTCCCATGTTATTTGTTTATATGTTAAAGCTTGAGAAACTGTTCTAGAAGACCATTTTATCCCGAGAAAGCTTTGGCAGAGATGATACATTATTATATTCATGTATCTGAGATATTTTCTTGTGGAAAAGAATTAGATAATCAAGTAAGAACTTGCCAATAGTCACAGACGCTCAAAGACGGAAGAGATTCCAAGGTAAATAAAGGGATCCTAAGGCAAAAGTGCCCCAACTGCAGAAGGGCTCAAGCACAATCACCTCTTGAGAGTGTTCTCCTAAACACTGTTATTTCCGTAAGCCCCAGTGTGCTGCAAACATCTGATTCTTGCACCCACTTCACTTGGCAAACCTTGCTTAGTAAGCCCCTTTTCGCTGAGGGAAATAAGGAAAGTTAAGTGATCTGCCCAAAGCCACAATGTTAGGAGCCTGTAGACTTGGATACAGAATCTGTCTTCCTCATTGCAAGCCCCATCTCTCAGACACTGGCTCTGTGAGAAAACTCAATGACTTGGTGTGGTCTTTTCTACTCAGATGATTTGATATTATTGTAGTATAATATTGAGTTAATCCTTTAAGGAACCTCATTATATGAGCTTTTATAATGAGGTTTTTAAAAAACTTCATTATATACAGCTTTTTTAAAGCTGTAATCAACAAAATCCCCATATCCTTTTTATAGGGGTGGTTTTCAAACCAAGTGTCACGACTTTGAATTTCTTATAATTTATTTGGGGACCTAAATTACTATTTTTGCATTTATCACCAGTAAATTGCATTTTATTGATTTGGGGCCAGATTTAAACATTTTTAAGTTTATTCATAATCTTCACTTAGCATCTCTCATGTCAGCTATTTTTTTCTGGTTTGTAATCTACATATGTGGTGAACACAACCTGTATTAAATAATGTAAAGCCATTGTTGGAAAGTGTTAGAATGATCACTCCCATTTGAGTAAATACAATACTGCTCTTTTCTGTTTCAAGTTCAAAATATCTAATTTATGTGTGGTTCATCTAGGCACGATTAAGTTGAGAGGAAAGATTTGCACCAATAAATCTTGAAAAAGACTGATTTACAAATTAAGATGTCAATATATTTATGCTACTTAAACAATTGTGTATAAGTAAATTTTTATTTAGCTTTACTTATTAGTATATTTGTACATCAAAATTATGCATAAAAATAAAACTTCAAATTGCTTCAAAAATAAAAATAATAATCCCATCAGCTGTCCTTTTGGACTTAGGCTCTACTGATATGCTTATAATAAATGCTTCTTTCTATGACACTACTTATTAAGAAATAATTAGGTTGAAAAACAAGTCTCTATATGGCCAGTATTGGTCTCTTTGCTTATCCCTTGTGGATAATGTTCAATAATTAATTAATTAAGGAACATTTATTTTATAATTAATAAATAGATTTGGATGAGGGGCCATGTCCTCCCATAAGGAGAACAGAAAGAGAAATAGACATGTGATTCTAGGCAACTAGCGTAGCCCATCTAGGCCTTATTTTCCTTACTAGATGATCCTTCATTACTAAGTGACCTTTCCAATTCCTATATGTACCATTATCCACCAGCTGCTGAAGCTCACAAGCTAAAATCACACACAATCAACCATCTCTCATTTAACCTTTTACCTCATCCACTCTTACCCTCCAACAATCTATTCTCCAGAAAGAACCAATATTATTTTTAAAAAATATAAATGAGACTAAAGTAATGTTATCTTAAAATCATCCATTGAATTCCTGTGTCACTTGAATAAAGGCCAGGCACTTTGTTCATGACCTGTAAGACACTCTATAACCTGGTTCCCACCCGCCTCTCCAACCTCGCCCCCCACCATTCTTCCTTTGCACCCTGACCTGCAGCACATCTGGTGGAAAGCGGGAAGCTTGTCTGGAAACTTGTCTCCCCATCTTCTCACAGCTGACTCCTCATCAACCATGTATTAGCCTAATTGTCATGTTTTAACAGAACCTTCCTTAACTACCCCCTGGTACTCTATTCCATTGATCTATTTTATTTTACTCATAGTCCTTATCACTGTTTGGTTATTTATTGATTTGTTGATTTCATTCTTTTCTTTCACAAGAAAGTGATACTTTCCACTCAGAAAACTTTTCTTTCTTGGTCACCATTTTATGTTCAGCAGTTGGAATAGTGCTCAGCACATAGATGTTCAATAAATATTTGATGAAGAGATAAATGAATGATATTTTATGTGCTTTACAGTTCTAAAATTTAATAATTCTGCATTAGCTTCAGCTCTAAGATGCTGTTTGTATATGTTTTATCTTTTAAAATAATAGCAGTGGGCTATATTTAAATCATCAAAGAAAGCTATTATTACAGTCAAATATTTTCAGTATAGCATTTTTTGTTAGCCTGCATGCAATTATTTTTGTGCAGTTTACAGTCTGTTAATTTCTCATCTTTTTCAGTAAAGCAAATCCACGCCAATGGACTGTTAGCTTTGGAACAACAATCAATCCTCCATTGATGAAAAGAAATGTCAGAAGAATTATTGTCCATGAGAGGTATCACTCCCCAGCAAGAGAGTATGACATTGCTGTTGTGCAGTTCTCCCCCAGAGTTGCCTTTAGTGATGACGTCCGCCGGGTCTGTTTGCCAGAAGCCTCTGCAAGCTTCCGACCAAATTCAACTGTCTATATCACAGGATTTGGAGCGCTTTACTACGGTGGTGAGTATCTCAAAAAAGGATCAGAGAGTAGTACTAAGCCTTGTTTAGAGCAGTGTGATTTAATTTCTCCATCAATATTATCCTGCCAGCCATTCCCACACAAGTTGGTTGGATTAGTTAGGGCTCCTGTCTTGCAAGTGACAGAAACACAAAATCAGATTAGCTAAAGCAAAGAATAATGATAAAATGGCAAATGTTGCTCTTGTAATTTGGGAATCAAGAAATGAGTTTAGTCTGGCTTCGATACAGCAGGCTTCTGGACTCATGATGTCATTGGGATCTCCATTTCTCTGTCACTGCACTCCCTGGCTCTGTTTTCCTTTTCCTATGGAGGGATTCTAGTTCCCAGGTGGCCGTCAACAGCCCAGGGTTCACACCGTTTTCACCTACAAGATCCTGAGGGAAGAACACATCTCTCCCTTCACCAGAATCTAAGTCACTCCCTGAAAGATCTCTTTTGGCCCGGTTTGTGTTCAGGGATACTCTTATTGGCTGGCTAACTCAGATACTCAGCCTATGCCTATACCAAGAAAGGTAGGTCTGTGATTGGCAGCCTGGTCAAAATCACATGGAATGGGGGGGGGGGCAACTGTAAAAGGATGAGCTTTCAAAGTTATTAAAAAATGTTCCTTCAGTTACACCAAACTCTATTTCAATGTGCTGTTCTCTATGCAATGCCAGATACACATAGGCTATGTTATAATCCTCATGTCCACCTTCACTCCAACACTCCCTCACACTGAGCCTCATCTCTGGGAGCCTTCTTTATCCTTTCCATCTCCTCCTCTCAGTTTTCCATCACAGACTTTCACTTTCCTCAGTGACCTTACAAAGTTTTTCTTTGCTGAGCTACAATCTCCATGTGCAGCAAAATCTGCTTCAGAAGAGGCTAATTTCAGAGTGATCAGAAATAAGAATATTGTGTAGAAATAAATCATCTCTGATAACAGAGCTTCTATTACCCTCTCTAAGATGATTTAACTTGACAATGCCAACTAATCTCCTAAGAATAAAAATGATTTTATTTTTAAATGTTTTTGGGCGTATTTAGTCATACATACTCTAGATTCTGAAATCTGGTCCAGGCATATACACATACAATAGCAAGAGTGTTTCTTTAACTCTGAGCTTGAGAAGAAAAGGTTTTCTGAGAATGACAAAATTCATTCACAGACCTCTACACAATTTATATATGATAAATTCTAAAGAATAAGCCCTTACTTCTCAGTCTCTATTAAGAACTAGGAATACATTTCACTAATGTGGCCAAGAATAGATGCCCCATGTGCTTTCATTCCATATAATACAAGCTGAGAAGTGTGTTGCTTTCTTTAAGGTCATATTACCAACCACAGAAATTATTATCCATAGTTTTGTAACAGTCCCAGGGGCAACTGAGTAGAACTGTAGGCCTGACACCCTATATCTGCACTCTACCCGATAGGTTTTACCCTAAGACAGGGTCTGCAGGCTCTGCTTCTCTGGTGATGATGGGAGGGACATCCTGGATTCCCACTGGCTGGTGGGATGAAATGTTTCTGGCCTGGAGTTTGAGGCGAGCACAGAACTATACCTGGCGTAGTACTTTTTAAGTAGCAATGAAATTTAACTGACATGTGTAAGATTCTATAGTAAACAACAGAAGACCCACTTTTTCAAGCACCTATGGACTTTGACCAAGATAGACCATATTTAGGTCCATAAAACAACCCTCCACAAATTTTAAAAAAATTAAAATTATACATAGTATGCTCTCTGATCATAATGGATTCAAACCAGAATCTAGTAACAGAAAGATAACAGGAAAAGTCTCCAAATGCTTAGGAATTAAACAACACGCTTCTAAATAATTCATAATGCAGACAGGAAGTCATGAAGAAAAACTTAAGTATACATAAAACTGGACTAAAATGAAAAACAACATATCGATATATGCAGAATGCAGCTAAAACAGTGCAGAGAAGGAAATTTACAGCAAATGTGTAAAGTAGAACAGCTGAAAGTTCTCAAATCAATAATCTAAATTCCTACTTCAAGTTACTAGAAAAGAGCAACAAAATAAACCTAAAACAAGGAGAAGGAAGAAAATAAGAAGAATTAGAATAAAAACAAAAGCAAGAAAATAATTTTAAAAATTAATGAAATAAAAAGCTAACTCTTTTCAAAATATCTACATTTGGTGAGAAATGTTATTCAGTACCCCCACAATAGTTGAGAAATAGTTCAGGGAGTTCCAGGATTTATTTAAGGTATTGACTGGGGTTGAGGTCTCATCTGCAGCTCTGGGTTCTCTTACAATCTTACTGGTTGTTGGAGTTCAGTTTCTTGCAGCTGGAGAACTTGTGGCAGCTTGCTTCTTCAATGTCATTAGAAAAAAGTCTTTAAACTTAGAAAAGGCCTAAGCCCTTTTTAAAAGGGTTCACCTGATTAGGTCAGGCCCACAGTGGATATTCCCCTTTTTGAAGAACTCACATCAAATGGAATTTATCTTAATGACATCTAAAAAATTCTATCATGTATTTCTAAGAACATAATAATAAGAATGACATCCATTATATTCCAAGTCAGGGGAGGAAGATCACAAAGGAACCGTGGGTATCATCACTGAATCCTGTCTATTACAGTGTCAGTTTCCCAACTATGACGAGGTTCGATGTAAAGCATTTGTGAACACTTGTGATAGTCCTTGTCTGTACCACAGACAATTGTCTTCCTGCCATAATATTGGTTTCTACAAACCCTAGTCTATAATCTGGAGCCCCAAACTTACAATACATAAAACATGAAATTGTTGCCTTTAAGTGTTATTTTATGTGTGAAAGTTCTTCATAAAATGTAAAGAATAAAATAAATATACATAGTAGTACGGTTATTTTTATCAAGCCAAGGGAGAAAACTGTGAAGACCTACAAATACAAATTGTATGTTTTTAATAATGAATGCCTTCCTAAATATATAAATTAATCATTTTTTAACATAAAGATACAAAGAATTTCCAGCAAAAGAAACAAAACAGTTATAGGTATTTATAAAAATGTGATGAGAATAAAAATTATTTAAATGTGCCAGATTTTAAACAAAATATTTCCTCTAGAAACTGCTTACAGCCTCATGCTGTGTTGACAAATTTTGTATAGGAAAGATTCTAAGAGTCTGCACACTTCATTCTAGTGAGGGGTGCTGATCGTAAATGCTAAAATTACTTTGTTGTTAAGGGGAATCTCAAAATGATCTCCGAGAAGCCAGAGTCAAGATCATAAGCGATGATGTATGCAAGCAACCACAAGTATACGGCAACGACATAAAGTTTGGGATGTTTTGTGCTGGATATCTGGAAGGCATTTATGATGCCTGCAGGGTAAGTGGGGCGAGATTACTTTTAATAGCATTGACTCAAAAATTTTTTATCTGGCTTAATGAATATTCTATGTTCTTCATACTAGTATAAAATACAGACATCTTGTGAGTTCAAAAGTTTCTAAATGCAAATTTCACAACATACATATTTTTAATGTTTTGTTAAACAAAATGAAATGAGCAGAGTTTCATTGATGCTATCAAACAAACTAACCATAAATTAAATTTTCTTAATACCAGAAATTCAAAGATTCATAAAACTTTATTTTATTAAAGGGCTCACATTTGGAAAGGAAACAATCATGAACAATGAACTATGACATCATGTCATAAATGACATAATGAAGAGAAAATATTTCCAGCTTGAAGGGCACATGTCATAGCAAGTTATCAGAGGGATCTCATTTAATTGAGGCCTGAAGGATAAATAGTACTTGCCCAGTTATAGAATAAGAAAAGAACATTATAGAAAAGAGAAAGAGCAGAGCCACAATTACGAAGGTGTGAAATTACAATTCATATTTGAGGGAGCCCCAGGTAATCTGAGGGGTCTCAGCCTAAGGAGTGGGGTGAAGTTGCAAACACTAATAAGGTGGATTAGGCCAGGTTGTGACTCTGGAGCCCCGCCATGTCCTCCTCTGCCATCCAGTATCTGTCCTGCATGTATATGTTCTAATGAGGCATAAAAGTGTGTTTCTTCTTAGAGGTACTTGCCTTATAATGTGAGATCCTTGAAAACACCAAGGAGGTGATTCTACCTGGGGAAATTATTTGAATGGTATTGATATCAGGTGGCACAAGCCCTTCCCGAGTCCCACAGATTACACGGGCAACCTCTGTCAGGAAAAGGTATGCCACCTACATCTATATGTAGCATATAGATATGTAGCACATAGTCTGGTCAAGAGCAAGATCTAACACATATCTAGCCTCAGTTGTTAAAAACATGGAGGACGGCAGCTAGGATTCAGAAAATCCCGAGAGAGGTGTATGCCTGACAGACAGGGGCAGGCAGTGCCAGGAGTTTAGAAGCAGGCAGGATGCAGAAATCTGGGCAAGTGGTGAGGTTAGTGATAAGTCTCAGGAAGGACTGGTGGTCACAAAGAGACTTTCCTGAACTGGAGAGCAGAGGTAAGATTCCTAACCCATGACTATTCAAGTGAGTAATAAGACAAAGCTGGAGTCATAGAAAAAATTGGAAAGTTATTGAGGAAGGAACTCAGGCACAGGGGCCCAAGACAAGAATACACTGATTGCAACTGGGTGCATGGTGTGCGGCTTAGTCTGTCTGAGAACGGAGAAGTCCAAGCACCCTGCTTAGAGTCAGAAGAAAAATGACATCCCCTTGACTTTCTGTTCTACATACTTAAAATTTGCTAAGAGTAGACCTGAAACATCTTACCCTCCTCCCTGCCAAGGTAACTATGTGAGGGATGGATGTGTTAACCTCATGGTGCTAGTCATTTCACAAAGTACAGTATGTCAAATTGTCATGCTATTCACTTTAAATATATATAATTTTATCTGTCAATTCTGTATCTATAAAGCTGAAAAATAAAATGTGAAAATTGAAATTTCATAGGCTTTTAAAGACTTTTATAACTTTTAAAATCCGTGTTTCAATTAATTATCCTATAATTGGTAATATATACATATGTTTAATAATAAAATACATAGTTCATCAGACAATCTTACATGATAAGTCTTATGTTTAGCTAATTTTCTTTCTCTTCTTTCTTTTTTTCTTTTCAGGGTGATTCTGGGGGACCTTTGGTCATAAAGGATCTTAAAGATACCTGGTATCTCATTGGAATTGTGAGCTGGGGAGATAACTGTGGCCAAAGGAACAAACCCGGTGTCTACACAATGGTGGCATATTACCGACACTGGATTGCTTCAAAAACAGGCCTATAAGTCAATGTGCGAGTTAGACACGCAGAGCCGTGCGCAGGCCATGCCTGTGTGAGAGTCCACATACTCAGGAGATGTAGTTTAATGGAACGAGATTAATGACTGGATCTAGAAACACAAGATACATGACATGATGTATTTTAGAGTCCCTTTAATCAACTAATAACCCATAGCTACCCATAGTCAGTTCATAAAGGATTTAAATTTGTAAAGTAGTGGGTCAGTTAGCCTGATTTGAAAAACACAGCAGATACTGAGCTCTTTAAATCATGCAAGTGGGAGTATAAAAGAGGAGCAATGCAATGTTTTATGGATAATCCATGAGATTTGTCCAGGGTGTCACCTTAGGTGAGTAACATTTTAAACTCTCAAAAGTTCAGAAAATCTTTATACAGGGGTGGACAAAAGTGGATTTACAGTTATGAGTACAGGAAACACAGAGTTTATTATTTATTAATTATTATATTATCTTACATACAAATAACTGTAAACCTACTTTTGCCCACCCCTATATAATCTCCAGAGCTCACAAATACTTTTTTCTCATTATTCCAAAGAGGTTTTCCACTATAAGAAAATAAATTTTTTACTTATAGTGTCATTGGAGGGTCTTTATAAAAGAAAGTTATATATGGGGGAAAAAGGTATTGTGATAAATTAAGCCAGAGAGCTTCTAAACTTTTCTTTCAGTTCTAACCTCCCTTATTTTTGGTGGCTTTTTAAAAAGATACACACACACAAATATTCCCACCCTACAGATACACTCAGAAAAAAGCCTGAGTAATGAATGATGGTATAAATTAACTAACTAGTCAAAAATGTATTTTTGTTGCAAATAATTTTGGAGAAGGTGATAGTAACTTCATGGGCAGTCCCTAAACAGAGGCCAAAATTTTGACATTTTATAGATGCATTTACATGTATGGACCAACGGGAGGTGACTTGGTACACTACTAAAGGTTAAATGCCTAGAGAAAAAAAGAAAGAGAGAGAATTTGCCAATACATTGAAGAATCAGAGAACGTTGTCCTTCTAGATAAAAAAAGTTTCCTTGTATTGCTGCAGCTAATTACTCCCTAAAGCTTGTGGCAATAGGCTACTGCAACCATGAAATCCTAGTTAAAAAATGTTAAATAGGGACTTCCGCCAAGATGGAGGCGTAGGTGGAAGCACTACACCTTATCGCACAACCAAGTTTAAAAACAATAAAGTTTTAGCAACAAAAACGCAGCCAAACTACAGAAAACTGAACTACATAGAAGTCTGACAACAATGAACCCTTCAGCCAAACCAGTAAGGGGGCAGAGCCAGCAGCAGAGTGGGGTTGGGCAGGAAAGATCCACCAGACCAACCTGGGAGTAAGACCCAGGTGTGTCAGCAGCTGTGGGCGGATCCCAGGTGTGGAGAAGTGGGTGGACCCACTGAGGGCTCATCTCAGTCACACATTCGCAAGCAGATAAACCGGTGAAGGAGCGAGCACTGAGACGAACCAGGCAGGCTTCAGCGGCAGGAAGTGGCAGAGGGAACTGCCATTGTCCCTCTCTGACCCCGCCCCCACACACAGCATCACAAACCAGCAACCTGGGTGGCCCCGCCCTGGTGAACATCTAAGGCTCCTCTCCTCATACTTAACAGACATGAACAGACCAAAAATGACTCAAGAAGATCTCAAAGCCCCAAAGCTCATAACTCTAAGCAATGAAGAAATAGCAAAACTTTCAGATGCACAGTTCAAAACACTGGTGATCAGGATGCTCACAAAACTGGTTGATTTTAGTTACAAATCAGAGGAACATATGAAGGCTAGACTCATTGAAATGAAGGGAAATACACAGGAAACCAATAGTGATGGAAAGGAAACTGGAACTCAAATCAAAGGAGTGGACCAGAAGAAAGCAAATAATGGCCAAACAGGAAAGGGTGAAGAAATAAGAATTCAAAAAAATGAGGAGAGGCTTAGGAACCTCCAGGACATCTTTAAACACTCCAACATCCTAATTATAGGAGTACCAGAAGGGGAAGAGGAATAGCCATGGGTGGAAAACTTATTTGAACAAATAATAAAGGAGAATTTCCCCAATCTGGCAAAGGAAATAGACTTCCAGGAAATCCATGAAGCTCAGAGAGTCCCAAAGAAGTTGGACCCAAGAAGAAACACACCAAGGCACATCATCATTACATTAGCCAAGATTAAAATGAAGGAGAGAATTCTAGAAGCAGCAAGAAATAAGGGGACAGTCACCTACAAAGGAGTTCCCATCAGACTGTCAGCGGATTTCTCAAAAGAGCCCTTACAGGCAAGAAGGGGCTGGAAAGAAGTATTCCAAGTCATGAAATCCAAAGACCTACATCCAAGATTGCTCCATCCAGCAAAGCTTTCATTTAGAATGGAAGGGCAGATAAAGTGCTTCTCAGATAAGATCAAATTCAAGGAGTTCATCATCACCAAGCCCTTATTATAAGAAATGTTAAAGGGACTTACCTAAGAAAAAGAAGATAAAAAAGATGAACAGTGAAAGGACAGCAAACTCACAGTTATTAAGAACCACACCTAAAACAAAAGCAAGCTAAAAGAACAGCTAGATCAGGAGCAGAACCATAGAAATGAAGACCACATGGAGGGTTAGCAACAGGGGAGTGGGAAGAGGAGAAGGGGGGAGAAGGTACAGAAAATAAGTAGCATAGACGGTAGGTAGAAAATAGATAGGGGGGAGGGTAAGAATAGTAGGGGAAATACAGAATCTAAAGAACTTGAGACATGTGGCCATAAACTAAAGGGGGGGAATGGTGGGGCAGGGGGTGTGCAGGGTGGAGGGGAATGAAGGGGGAAATAGAACAACTGTAATGGCTTAATTATAAAATATATTTTTTAAAAATGTTAAATAAAGATAAATTTTGAGGACCTACCACCCAGAACATATGAACAAAGTGATCTGAAAGAACTATACCTCCTAAATAAAGTGTATCGTGAAGACACTGGCATAGTCAGGCACACTTGTTCCATGGTGCAATTAAATGAAGGCTGTATGGAAACTCGCTGTGTATGACAATGCCAGCCAAACTTTTCAGCTCTGCAGGCGGGGTGTCAGTCGTTCATGCAGTTCACATAAGCCAAAGCATTGGAAAATTGAGTTACTTTATAACAATTTCCCCTTGTGCACTACTGAGAAGGCATAGATATAATCCTAAAATAATGGAAAGGAAATTTACAATTTACCCACACACAAAAATAATTGACCCATAACTTAGACTCATAGAAGTTTAAAATTTAGAAAAGACTGTACAAGTCATGCAGGCCAACACACGCGTTAGAGAACTGAAGCCAGGAAGCACAAATAACTTAGTGAAAGTAGCCTGTATCCTCCATGAGCTGCAGACCTGGGTACCAACTTTACATGTCCTTTTCCTTACAAAGTGTCTTTCTGATTGCCTATATTTGTCGAACCATCAGATCTATAAAAATACAGCAAGTGCTATTATTGATTCTGTTTTAAATTTGGATACTCTTAAGAAAATAAATTTAAATAATGGGATTCACTTAAGCAGCTCATTGTCAATTCTCTGAACTCACTTCAAGACAAAATTACTTCTTCATACATATATGTATATATATATGTATAAAAATATTGCAGCCATACAAATTATTCTATATTTTGGTGGTATATAATTCTGACTTTTAATGTTGACATTCAAAATGATCTTAGAGTTATAAACTTCAAATTTGAAAACTGTTTTGTGCAGCATTTCATTCTGGGTCACATGTAAGCAAATACTGATATCTCATTTTAAATTGAATAATAAAGTCAGTGGTCGGAGCATCCTATAAAGAATATCACTGAGTCAGTGTTAGGCCATAGTATGAATCTTTCTTTCAACAGCTCTTAAGGATTGCATTTCTTTTAATGACTAGTTGGGGTCACTCTGAAGCAGCAATCTTGGTGGTCTTAACATTTTGGCCCGGATAACTGTTGTGAAGGGCTGTCCCAGGCAGTGTAGAATATTTAGCAACCCCCTGACATCTGCCTACTAAATGCCTGTAACACATTCCCCATCTCCAAACTGTGATAACCCAGAATATCTCCAGACATTGGGAAATGTCCTCTAGGGAATAAGCCTGTCTCTTACTGAGAACTGCTGTATTTGATTTTTTTCAGAAATGCAATACATACCTCCAATTTTGGTATCAATTATTCAAAAACTACAGTCTTCTAATCAAACTGAACATTCACTATCATGTTTCTAAATAAAATAGCAACTGTGCTCCTTGGTATACACCCAAATGAGTTGAAAACTTATTTCTATACAAACACATGCACACAAATGTTTATAGCAGCTTTATTCATATATTTCCAAAACTAGGAAGCAACCAATATGTCCTTCAGGAGGCAAATGGATAAATAAACTGGTTCATCCATACAATAGGATATTACTCAGGGATTTTAAAAAAGTCATCAAGGTATGAAAAGACATAGATGAAACTTACATGCAATTACTAACTGAAAGAAGTCAATCTGAAAAAGCTACATACTGTATGATTCCAACCATATCACATTCTGGAAAAGGCAAAACTATGGAAACTGTAGAAAGATCAGCGATTATCAGAGACTGTGAGCAAGAAAGAGGTGGATAGATGGAGCGGAAAGGATTATTAGGTAGTAAAACTACTCTGTGTGATACAATAATGGTCGTCAAAACCCACAGAATGTCAATACCAATAGTGAATCCTAATATAAACTTTGGACATTAGGTTATAATGATGTATCAATGCAGGTCTATTAATTGAAAAAAAAAAAAAAAACAAGTACCACTCTGGTGGGAGATGTTGATAGCTGAGGAGGCTGTGTGTGTGGCAGAGTGTGGGTGTATGAGAGCTCTCTGTACTGTATACTCAATTTTTTGGTGAATCTAAAGTTGTTCTAAATATAAGGTCTATTTTTTTAAAAGCCACCAAAGCTTTGAAGACCCCTGGAGAAGTGGTAGAATAGAGGGGAATATTGAGTTCTGGATAAAGCAGTGAAAGAAGTTAGTATGAGGAAATTATTCTACAGCTGAAGAGCTCTTTGTGGCTGAATTACATTGTTAACAGAAAATATAAAATAGTTTCCTAATTATGAAGTTGAACTTTTTTTATCAATAGATTCAGGCAAAGAACAGGAACTAAAAGTATTTTTTCTGCATAAATAGCTGAATATTATGTAACTCAAAATTTCACAGAAATTGATGGTGATAAAAGGCAAGTGCAGGGACTAGCAAATTCAGGGGATGTGGGAGACCTCCAGGATAGTGTTTTGTCAATGTTAGTGAGGGCGTAAAAAATAAACCATAAGCGTCAAGACTCAGGGAAGACAAACAGCAATACCCCAGGTTACCCTAACCTGTCCTTAGCCTTGAAATAGGTGTTCTGGGTTTGGGAATACTAGATGATCTTAAGTAATGTGCAAGGTCATTGAAAATCCCTGTAAAATCTGCAGAATATTTCGCAGGGCTACAGTGATCAACCAGAGTACCTATCATAGCATACGAAAAGCACTTGGCTGAGTACCACCCTGTCTGAGTTATGTGGTCACTGCCCTCACAGCATCGGCTGCACTGTGGGCCTCCCAAAGCCATCTCAGGAGGTCCTGGCATTCGGCTAGACACTATCATCCACATGAGTTCTCCTACTGTCCTTTGAGGGGCCATCTGCTTTAGCTGGAACCTGGAGGCTCAGTGACATCCACATTCTTGAGTTTGTTAGATTTCCCTAGGAAACGTTTCTTTTACCTCTCCCTGGTCACCTGGCTTTCAGGACTGGAGGATCTGTCCAGCAGGTTTGGCTCTCTACTCCTCTGAACACACCACACAAGCAGGAACCAGTACAGTTACCATGGGCATCCAGGCACATTGATCCATAATGTTGGTTCCCCTCAAAGAAATATTTCTAAATCTAAAATATGCTTGATGTAGGCCCTGGCTGGTGTGGCTCAGTGGATAGAATGCAGGCCTGCAAACCAAAGAGTTGCTAGTTTGATTCCCAGTCAGGGCACATGCCTGGGCCATGTCCCCACTTGGGAGTGCATGAAAGGCAACCACACATTGCTGTTTCTCCCCTCTTTCTCCTTCACTTCCTTTCTCTCTAGAAATAAATAAACAAATAAATATTTAAACAAAAATAAATAAAAGCATGCTTGGTCTTGAAGAAATAAGGCACTTTATCTTTGTGGGAATGCTTTCCTGGAGAATGTGGTGTGAGTGGAGGTCCTTGAGAAAAGATGTAGTTCCAGTGACGGAAGGTAGGGCTGGTTTAGGGAAGGGGGTTGGGGTGATCCCTGTTATTATACACAGCAACTACAGTGATCTCCGGGCTTCCAGACAAAACTCCTTCCTACATAAAGGTTTATTCCTGGGGTGTATGTGTGTGTTTAGAAAAGTATGAAATGAGTCCATGGAGAACCATAAGTATCTTTAGTCAACCTTAAAGATTCCCATTTATAACACTGTTGTCAGTTATCTTGCTGGAATCATGTCCTAGATGGAGAGAGCATTCAGGTTCCTATCAGTGTTCTTCTTGAAACAACTGAAAGGGGTAATGTAATCTGGCTCCATCAGATACCACACCATGGTGGTCCAGCACAAGACTTACCTGTGCCTCCAACACTCAAAGCTCCTCCAGCTTTCCCAGGAGTCTGGATGGACAACTGGGAAATAGGATGGAGCATGGAGAAGCCCCTTCTAGGTCAGGACTCATGCTCACAGCTGACCAGAGTTCTGTTTCCTCTTTTCCACTTTGTCTGAGACAAGGAATCCTATTCCTGGTACAAGGCACAAATGTTTTTCATGAAAAGCACTAAAAAATAGCTTAGCCTTCATGTGCTTTTCATTGGACCATTTAAGAACCTAACAACATATTCAGATTACATCATCTATTTTATCCATATTCCTTCTCATTTAGATGCCTCTGGAAAAAATTAGATCAAAAGATTATAGTTCAGGACAGATAACAATAACAAAAACAGAACCAAAACCCCACACACTAGATTTCAAGGTGAGTTGGGTAGCTTCTCCCTGATCCATGACTAAAGACTATTTTTTTAATCCTAGACAATCAGCACAGCTTTAAATGTTCCTGGTCAAGTGCCTTGGAAAACAAATGGGATGAATCAATGGAAATGACACTATATTGCTAATAGAGAAAACAATG